TCACGCGCGTGATTTATCAAATCCATCGATCTCATTCAAAAATTTCAAAAGACGCTTTAGAGAAGCACGAAGCACATCCGCGTGTAGATTAACGATATCTCTAACGTTCCCGTTTCTAATTTCGAGGATTGCTCGACGTGAAAATTGCTCACGGAGAGAAAACGCAATTTTCCGCTCGCTATATTTAGAAATATTGCTTCTCATATTTCTTCCTGAAGCATACGTTAGCGTTATTCAGAGCTCTTACATATGTAACCGAAGCTTCATGATTTCATACTCGCGCGTGACCGAGTCAGTTGAACATCACACACGCGCTTTGTCCAACTTTTGTTACACCCACACACACGTAGAGTTTCACGTAGGAAAGTGGAGGTACCACTCGACCCCGCGCGCGCTCGCAAATACACAGTCTCGTCTCCCGATAGCACCTGTGCGAGAGACTCATTTTACCGTCAGTTTCACACACGAGGAGAATGCAATGGAAAAGAGGAGGAAAATAAGACGAGATCGATGCGAAAGAGAGAATTTCTCTGCCGGTCGACGGGTCGACCTCAAACTCTCTTTTCAGAGAATGAGACGGAGCGGAATATTTTCTAAAATGTCTGCCCGATGCGTTTTTGTTTTTTTTTTTTTTTACCAACGCGTTTATATTTCATCGACATAATTAATAGAATATATTCCGTACGTTCTCTTCGAAAAAAAAGTTAGTCGAACATTTTTGAAAGAAATGTCACATTTTCGAGAAAATTTTTATTTGCACTGCCTTTCACTGTTCGAGTGGAGAGTTTCATATTTTCAAAGAGCAGACATGTATTACTGCAAGATATAATTAAATTAATACTCGGAAACGAGAAGTTTCCGATATCTTTGATAAGGCAAACTACTACTTTGCTACTTCAGTACAGCGGTGCACAAGTTTATCGCGAAAGTTCTTCGTGTAAGCAACGACGATAACGCGAATGAAGATGCATGTTTCACGAAGGTAAACGCGATTATCGTGTCGTTATCACCGGCCGCTTGATATTATCCACGCAGGGTTAGGGGGAGGGTGAAAGAAAAGAGGGAGGAGGGGGGGTTAAAATTAAGTTAATTACCAGAGAGTGCTCGCGACCTCTCGTGGCGACAAAAATACGCAAAAGTAAAGCCGCTTTAAAAAGTGAGTTAATACTTTAACAATTGCGGAAAAGTTTCGCTCAGGTTCGAAGGGCGAAAGAAAGGGAAGAGGGAGAGAGAAAAAGAGAGAGAGAGAGAGAGAGAGAGAGAGAAAGAGAGGAGATAGTCCTTACTTGACGTAGTTGTGCTTTAATCCATTCAGCCGCCGGTTTAACTTTTTCCCAGCCATTTTGCACAACTTACTCGTTAATGGCGTCGCGCGCGGGAAATCTACTCCCCGTGAGAATGACTCGCACAGGCGGGGACCATAATATAAAGAATATCTCTATTCAGCCCCTCGCGCGCTGCGAAAATGAAGACGTCAATCAAAGCGCCATTAAGTTCTAAAACGAGATTAGCTGAAAAAATGTCCCATCCTTGTTGCAAATATTTTTTTATTAATATACAATACGTACGTTTTCCATTTAGTTGGCGCAGTCGCAGTGTAATAATGCATTCGTGCAAACTAATTGCGGAGGATTATTACATTATAGTCAATTAAAACGCCATTGAAATTGCCTAAAGGCTGAATGAATTGCAACATTTATATACATGTGTATATGTGTACATTATATATATATATATATATATATATATATATATAATTCCTTTGTTAAATATTTCGTTAAATATATTGCAATATGTGTTATTTGTTCTCTATTATGTATCCGTATGGTTTGTGGATAGTAATAACGCGAATAATAATATTCAACTCGCTCGACTGATTGCAAGATAATTATTGGTCTATTAAATAAATATCGTCGAAATTGCCCAAAGACTTGATTGCGAATTAACGAGTCGCGCGGTCGTTCGCGGTCGTTTTTTTCTCTTTGTTCATTTTTTTTTGTTTTTTCTACATCATAAGATCTAATTTCTTTAACGTGCTTTTAATTTGATATATTTGTTTTTCCTAAAAAAAACAAAAAAAAAAGAAAACACCGAGATGTTATGTATTTTATGTAATTAAACGAGCGCGCACAAGTTGTACGGGTTATATATATATAAAAGCGTGGGTGGACTTCCCGTTTGCAAAACACGTATCTAGTTAGACAATCTCGTGGGTGGCGCAATTCGAGGTAAAAAAAAAAAAAAATAAAATAAACAAAAATAATACACCAACGAAAACAACGGCGCAATGGATAAAACAAGCGATGAGGGTCAACCCGATAGGGTAAACGAAACCACCTACGAATCACTCTCGACAACCGATCCGCTTTATCGAAGCAATTACAACTACGGGCCAAAGTAGTAAACGGGAGAGAAGTGCCGATATTTCCCGAAAACGCGTTTTCCGTCATGCGATCGAGTAGTATTCGCGCGCGTCTCTCTTTATCTGTTTAACTTTATGGCGCCGCTCTCTAATTCGATTTCACGCGTTCTTTTTACTGAGAAAAATGTATCGCTGTCACGCACTTCCCGCGCCCACGTAGGATTTGCCACGCCTCCGCGAGCAACAACTTTTCCGATCGCTCTTTCGACCGGAGTCGATGATATAATCGTTGATTTCACCTTCTCACGCGCAATTAACGTATAACCAATCAAGAGAGAGATAAAGAGCTGAACCTTTTTTGTTTCGCGCGCGCAAAAGTGTACTTACTTCCGCACAGAGAAGAAGAGCGGTTTTTTTTCTCTTGTTTTGTACAGAAGCGCGGAAAGAAAAAGACGCGCGAGACGTGTCCACGTACCGTTTGGCTCTTGAAAAAAAAATTATGCAATAATGCTTTTCTTATTTCACAAGTGTTCCGCGAGTTTCTCCGCGGCGTTTTTTTTTTTTTTTTTTTACGTTCGCGGATCCCGGAGAGCTTGCGCTACTAAAATATTCATGAGCGACCCCGCTCCTCCTTAAACATCTGAGAAAAAAAAAAAAAAAAAAACGGTAATGTTGTTCCGCATTTAGCAATTATTCAATTGCTCGTCCCCCGGTTGCGACAAATTAAATAAAACGCGCCCGGACGGAGACTGCAGAGAACCGGCTTGATTTAAATAATCTTATTACAAAATCGCACGATTGGTCTCTCTCTCTCTCTCTATATACGTGTAACTAAAAAATACCTGTCTGTTTACTTACGTACTCGATGTTAAAATAAAAAAAAAAAAACAATCTTTAATTTTTACTCGCAGTAATTTCTTCGCTTTCAAAAAGTACAAGCGCGATATAATCTAAAATTAGATTCGGCTTTATTCGCTTTCCGCCTATTGTACCTTGCGTTCTCCGTTTCCGCTAAGGAGATAGACCGAGAAATGCTGTTCTCGATATCGTATCATGGAGTCTCCTTTATCCTCGAAAATGCCGACGTATCCAATAGACGACGACGAGAGAGAGAGAGCTCCGGTGAATTTCCTCGGAAAACTGTCCCGGAGCGAACCTATTTTTCCTTACGCCTCGCTTGTTTAAACTCCTCTTTTAGATCGTCGTCACAATTTTTTCTACAATTGTTCCGTTGTTTTTCGCACAGAAAAAAATTTCATCGTTCGTTCGCCCGAGCAAAAGCTAATCGTTCGCGCTCGAGCGCGGTTATATACAAACGCAACGCGCGGCTTTCAGCTTCAACCGTGTAACCAAACCTCATTATAATGCAATTTCCGTTTCCAAAATCTGTGCCAAGGCTCAGCCAGGAAATTATTGTTGCTCTTGTAGTTTGTAAGGAAATATCGATTTCGCAATATCAATATCGTGTTTCAAAAATTGAAAACGTCAGAAAACGTAATCGTTTTTCGAAACGTGGTGGTTTTTTTTCTTCAAGTACACGGAAAAAAAAGATTTGCTAAAATAGCAAGAAATTAGTTACTATATGGCCAGCAAAAAAACATTTGTTAAGTTTAGTAAAATTTTTGTTTTGCCAACAAAATATTTTGTTGATGAAACAAAAAATTTCGTAGGATCAACCATTTTTTTTTGCTGACTATATAATAGCAAAACTTTTTTTTCCGTGTACGAAACCTTCTCTTTGTGCACTTTTTTCTATATTTTCTCTCTCTCTGAAAAATTTTTTAGAACATTTGCTAAATTGTGCAAATGGTGTTTGAAGTTACTCGAGAGCGAGGAGTAACGAAACGTCTTTTATTCACTCAAAGTAAAATAAAATCACAACGGACAAAAGAAAATGCTCAATGGCTGACATTTGCAGAGATTTGTAAAACCCTCTCACACCGCTACACAATCTTGGAACTATTCTATAATACAATTTATAAATAATTCCTCTCTCTCTCTCTCTCTGTCTCATTCTCTGCCTCTGTGACGATAATTACCAGACGAAAGCGTCGTGTCGACGAAAGAAAATCAGTTATTTCGCGCGGAGATGCATTCGAATCGATATAGCTGCATCGCAACTCATGTCGAAGACTCTCTCTGAATTATTCCTTGAGAAACACGTGTCTCACGTGAGATGAGAGATCACGCTCGCTGTTTTTCTCGCTCTGTTTTTTTTTCCCGGATCAAAATCACGGAACGACGCAACAGGACGACAACGTCCTATTTTCGTCTCTCGAAAAGGTTTCATTTAGTCGAGTAACGGTGGAATATTCGAAATATCGGTGGAATTATCATACTGTTGTTTGTCATTATACGATTGTTCGTTCGCTCTCGACATGTTACTCTCTCTAAGCTAGTTTTACGCGTCAATTAAATCAATCGTTTTCGCGTGTCCGCAATTCCCTCGCGAGAAATACATTTGCATCTGTTTCGAAGTTGTTAATACCGGAGCTGTTGCGATTATTATGAATGATTTCAAAAAGGATTACTCTCCGCACGTATATATATATGTATCGTATGAATAAATAACATCTCATCGTGTAATTGAAGAATCAATTATTGACGAGCATTAAATAGCCGTGTTGTGAACACTCACTTCTATCTGCGTTTCGCTCGGCTACTTGGCGAATCGGCGGGTACCCCGGCGGGAGGGATGAGGGGTTCAAATCCCATACATGGCGACGACGACGACGACGACGACGACGACGACGACGTGCGCGGCCGCCGAGTGAGCGACGCACGTCAATCAATTCTGCAACAGAGAATGAAAATTTGCGTAATTAAATTTGCATTTCCGTTCGCCCGATCGAATTCGGAATCGTTAATCGTGAGTAAATATGTATGTGAAACGCGAGCGGTTGAAAATCCAACGTGCAAACACACACACGAACCCCCTTGTAAGATGTAATGAATTAATTAATTGGGGGGGAGGGTTACAATGAGAACTTTTGGGGGGAGGGGCGACACGTCGATAGTGTGCACAAATGGCGCGTTTAATTTGTGGATTTGTGGGATCTCGTGTGCGCGCGGGTCATTGCGTCGAGAGAGCGAACGACGATGTCGATCACTTCGGGGTTTTCGAGAAATGGAGAGATCGTTGGCCGCGCGGTCGAGATTAAGCGCCCTGCAGTTTCAATTTCGCGCGATATCGGTCCTGCGGATGTGGTCGGTCGGTAGGAATCTGGTGTCTTGTGCACGGAGATAAGTGAAATTCGATGATCGAGAAAGTTTCGCGCAACATACGTACGTTCGCGCGAATATTACACGGCGCGATTAATCAACACACACTATCTGGTTGTTTAGAAACACCGTTGCAAAACCCCAAAATCGGGTTCGAATTAATCAAATTGAAACTCGATACGCGGATGTGTACATCATTTAGTTCTCCCTAATGATCCGAGAGATGCGTGTTATATATGTTTTACATCCGTTTCGCGGACAAATATTGTTTTTGTGCGCGTCGGAGCGAGACGGAGAACGTTATTGCGAGCCAAAATCGCGTTCGAGTCGGGGGAACACTTTATGATCGATTTGTTTCTGGAGGAAGTGACGTTCGTGTCGGATGCACACAACAGTAGTTTTGCGTCTTTATGTCTTCGAGAAAGAAATTCGCACCGCGTCTTGTTGTTTCAGGACGTGGGGGGGGGGTTTCAATTAAAATCGAATAAAAACACTACGTTCGCACTCATTCTTCATTTCTCGCTTTGAAGACTAACTCAAAGAAAAACGCTTCCCGAGAGAAAAAAAGATATACGGTACTTAAATTGACTTTCGATAAGAATGCGAGGGAAAAGGGAGGCGCGATTTTTCCTTTTTTTTTTTTTCTTCTCGCGCGAATGTTTCAGCGAAACAAGATACAAAAACACGCGCGGGATTCCGGAAATTTCAAGTCAAGTTAAAAAATAAGAAAAATATCGATATCTCGCGCGCCGGAGAATCTGACTTTTTGAGCTGCATCGGATTCTTTTCTTCCTCCTAACTTTGGCAAGTTCGGCTTCCCCTCCACCTTTTCCCTCCTCCTCGGCTCTTCTTAAATTTACCAGAAACTTCGGAAGTATTTAAGCGAAGAAATATAAGCGTTGGGGAAAAAGCGTATGGAAGAAAGAAGTCTTCTCTCTCTCGTCTTGTCCGAACGTTTCTTTCTCGCGTGCGCGCTAGGAGAAAACGTTCTTACAATTTTCCAAGTCGTCCTCCGGTTCGCGGCTTCGAGTCACGGCACGAGGAAAAACATTTTCCGAGCAAATTGGAACGGGGATAGCTCAACGCCCGGCGGTGAGATGAAGGAACGACGGGCGAAGTCTGGCGAAAAGCTAAGACCGAAGATTTCTCCGCCCCCGAAACGAATTTCCCGGGAACGGCATTTCCCGCGCCGCCAACCGCTGTTTCGCAAATTATCTGATTTTTCATCAATCTTGCCCCGCTCGATTCATCTTTTTAAATAAACGTTATCGCGCGTTACATGTATAACATATAATAATCTATCTGTTACTTTATTAACAGAGTTGCTTTTAATTACGTCACAAAGAATCGAATTTAATTTTTTTAATTAATCGAATTTTCACGTAATTTCAAAAGCAAAATAACAGATATGAACGCAAACAGCGGGGGATCGCGAATTAGCATAAACACTCGCAATCGGCTCCGTAACTCATCCAAGAGAGTGACCCGGGTGCGATCGCGTTCCGGTTTCGCGCTCGCGCCGCGTTATCCTTGGACACCGCAACTAATTAATGAAGCTACGATTAATGCGTAATCGCTCGGGCTCCGGCCGATTGAAAATTGATGGCCTCAATCGTTGTCACGCGAATTAATTGCAAACTGGCGTTGTCCGCGTCACAGCGTACGAAATTGTTATATCGAGCGTTGCATTGGAAATTTATACGCGCACGGATGCGCGCGTAACTAGCGACACAACAACTCTTTTCGCTCGCTCTGATAAGAATATCGAATATCCCCCCGTCGAAGCGGTATCGGTCGCGTTCATTCCGCGAACGGAAAAGACAATGGAATACAAGTGGTTTGAAATTCACACGGACAAATTTTCGCATCCGATGGATGATGCTATATACATGTATTACACCGAAAAAATTATATTCTCGTAAGTAGAAGATTTTACACTTAAAAAATCTTCTTAAAGATTTTAGATGATATTCTTCTGAAAGTAAGAATATATATTCTTTATCTAAGAATATATTCTTAATTTAAGAATATAGTCTTTTTCGATAGTGAGATATATATGTTTTTCTATAGAGNCTTTTTATATTCTAATCAGTATATATTCTTATCAATATTACTATTTAGAGGATTTTCCTCTTAAAATAAGAAACTCTTCTTGGCGCCTATTTTAGTATAAAATATACTTAAAGTAAGTGGGATATCCTCAAAACAAGAATACAATTTTTTCGGTGTAGGTCTACCGGAAAGTTCTGTCCGTTTTTGGAATAAAACAAAATACAATTATTTTTCTTACCGTCAATAAACTTTATTAAATAATATAATTGCCATTGTTATTAATAATTTCTTGCCAGCGTGAGGGCAATTTATATATCTTATTTTTGAAAAATTAAGAACAATTTGTATTTTGTTTTATTCCAAAAACGGACAAAACTTTCCGGTAGACCTAATATATATATATATATATATATATGTGCATCAACTACGTTCTAACGTCGTTAGCTCTCCGCGATATTTATCGAAACTCGTGACACAGCTGACACAAGTACCGCTACCACATGCTCTCTCTCCTCAAGAATAAAGAAAAATATGAAATATGTTTCTTCTTGTATAAAATGAAAAACGATGGTTTGCTGCGCGGTACGTTTCTTTTGTGTGCGTGCGTGCGTGCGCGTGTGTGTGTATCATGTAATGCTGTTATAAACACATTTGCGCTTCCGAGAAAAAACGCGCGTCGGCGGACGCAGAGAAAATTCCACGCGCATCAAAACGCGCGCACAGTTCTCTCTCTCTAGCGAATAGAAGGAAATTTCACGTCGTGAAATAAATAAAAAAAAGTGCACCTCGAGATACGCGCGTCTCTCGTTTATATATTTGCGTGCGAAATCCGTCCGATATTATTGCGTTATTTACGGTCCCGATGAATGACGTTGAGAAACCGCGGCGTGCCGCCGCGGCAGAGGTAAATAGGAAAAAAAAAAAAATACCAAAGGTGGCGTGTGCGGCATTGTTACGTAGCGAAAAAACGCAACGTTATTTATAATACTCCTACGCGAAAACTTCGTGAATCGACTGACTAAATAATGCAAGTAACACGTCAACCGGCAAGCGTAATCGCATAATTATTGCATGGCCCGCGCGCGGACACTGTAATAAGACATCTCTCCGATCTCGCGACACGCGATCTCCGCGAGAACAGCTGAGTCACACTTTTGCACTTCTTCGTGCAAAATCGCATGATTTTTGCGTGCACGCCCGACGACGACGACGACGACGACGACGACGACGACGACGACGACGACGACGAAAGTTGTGCACGCGACTTCGACCGAGAAACGATTTCTTTCCGCTCTTGTTTCTTCAGGGAACGCGTTTCTGGAGCGCCCTACATAAAAGGAAAAAGCAGGTATCGATGCCTCATTTTTTTTTTTTTTTTTTTTTTTTTTCGCCCATATCGTTTGAAGCAGCTCTCCAAGTTGTACGTATAGATATATGAATACGTGAGGGTTAAATTCGTTTTGGGGTGAGAAAAGATAGGGAGGGAAAGAGAGACGACGAACAAAATTGGGGTCGAACATCAGCCGCAGACGAATGAGGAACGAACGACACCCACCCATTGTCGTCGTGAAACAAACCCTCCGCTCGCTTGCACTCTCGCGCCTTATCGGCAACGCCGAGAAAGAGAGAAAGACGGGGAAAGCTTTTTCGAAGAGAGATCTTCGCGGTGCGTGTGCCGCGGGGCAGTTTTCCCTCTGACGCGCGCGAGAGAAGATATCACGTAATATTTTACCTACAAATCCCACCCCTGCTCTGATGTTTCACCATAACCGAGCTTTTTCCCTTTACGAGGGCAATGATTCCGCTCGTTCGCGCACACAGACACGTGCCCCCAGCTCCTCCGAGCGATTTTTCTCTCTCGCGTCCGGTTCTTTTCTCAGCCGCGATTGTCTTATACGGGGTGGTGCGCGCGCACGCAAGATATCGAGGGGTTAATGGATTAAATAAAGAAGAGAGACTATCCGCCGCGCTGTGCTCTCGCGCGTTTATCCAATTTGTTATCTAGCGAGTCTCTCAAGCGCGCGACCGAAGAAGAAACATCCGCGGCGCTTGTTCGCGGATGTTTCATTTGCGACGCTTCAAGTTCCGACCGGAAGTAGAACTCGACAACTACACAAGAGACCAATTCCGCGTAAGGACGCGGGTTGCAGAAAAAATCCGGCCAAATGCGATTTTCTGCGTTTTGCGCAGACTTTTTATTTGGGAAACGGGGTTTTTTTTTTTATACGAATGATTGAACGCGGTTGTGATCGACGCGAAATCTACAAATACTTTTTACCACTAACTGACGACAAACCTCGCGACGTCGCGTTTGCTAAAATACACTCGCGCGCAAGTTAGGCTGATAAAGACCACCCCCGTTACACAATGGGAGACAAATTGCTTGGCGCGGTGGTGTCTGAATTATTCGTCATGTACCTCTTCAACGTTAGAGCTCGTTGCGAAT